AAAAAAGAGAATAACGAAAGCCACCACAAAACACTGATTTAGGCAAAAGCTGTTTCCATCATATTATTTTTTTCCAAGGTAAAGACTCAGTGCCTAGACTTTTAAACAAGTGCTTTATCCTTGAAAATTAAAATAAAATATTTTCATGTAATCAGTAAATTTTGTTATGAAAGTTTACAGCAGCTATATTAAACGATAAGAATAACTACTATTTTGAAATTCTGAACATCTCATAATTAGACCAGCCTTTAAGAAATATTCAGAGTTAAGGCACATTAGAATGTATTCCACAACATGGAGACAGCCCTGACAAAGAAACATTATTCTTAGATTTACAATTAATTACCCTTATGTCTATACCTTGCATTCAATTTGCATATCTTAAAAGTGCTGTAAATTTCATAGCACTCCCTTGTTATTTAAGATCATTCTGCTTTAGTAAAAGTTTCCACAGTGATAACTTTCTCTTGATTATGTAGTTGTGAGGTCAATAAATTTGGCTTTACTTGGCTCCACAATGTTATAATTTTTCTTTTTTTTTGTGTTGTTTTTCATTATTTTGCTCCTTGTTCCTCCTGCCCTCTCATTTATAATCCCCTGAAGAACCAGTAGATAGAGAGGTCTGGCTCGAAGACGAAGTGAGTGGTCAGATCCTCAGATGTTATCTTTTTCCCAGAACGCTCTGGTACTGGGTGTCTGACATGTTCTATACATCTTTCTGGTGTCAACCTCATTAAACAAATACAACTTGATGTATAGCTCTCAAGAAATGAAATTTCTTGCGATGAATTTGCTCTGTATCACCCCAAGTTCTCTCTNCTTCGGGTTTAATTTTGTGTCTTCTTGATTTCAACCAGAATTTTACATAGTGGCTGTTCATAATTTTGTGCCCTGAGATTTGTCAGTGTTTTCTGATATTTAAAGAAATATCCACATTTTATGCTCACAGTTTGGTGTTTCCTGCTTTCTAAACAAGGAATCCTTGCCTTGGGTGAGGTGTGGTGCATTCAGGTGGTGGATGCTGATTTTCAGAATGTTTACGTTGGTCAGATACGTGTGTGGATTTTCTCTAAACGTTAGACATGTTGCAGCATGTTTGTTGTAAATTCTTTAATCTTCTGTAAATAATTACATATAAATGTGCTTGACCTGTGTTTTATGCTCTAATTTAAGGTTAACACAATATCCTGTAAGCCAGAAGGATATTGAATGCTTTACCAGAATAGTAAATATTACTCTCATCTTTTTTTCCCCTTTTTTCCCCCCTCTTCAGCCTAAAAGAATTTTAAAAAGAAATATGTTTTCAAACTAAAATAAACCTTCTTTAATGAGACTATACATTATTTACAGAAAAATGCCACTAAACTCAATTAGTACTGGTCTCACCACTGGGYAGAATTGAAGTTGCTGAATTTTTTTTTTAATGTAGTTCATTGAAGTCATTACTGAATCTGGGCAATATTCTATTTTTAATCAATTTAAAAAGTATAATGTAAGAGAAAAGAACAACACACTGTATGGATTTTTGTAGATTCAGTGCTGCAAAAAACCACACAGACAAATGCACAATAAAGTTTATGCCCATCTTTCTTTTCTCAGAAAAATTGTTTAAAGCTAAATGTTTAAATGTTACATTAAACAGGTAATTCCTTATTGCCACCCTCTGTATTATTAATTGGTAGCTTATTAGAGTTATTTAAAAAGTTATTATTGCGGCTTCTTTCATTTAATATTTTATTGTATAACACTATTATTTAAAACTACTTTGCTGGATAACAGCAGCCATCCAAAACATTGTCTGTTGCTCAGAAACAGAAATAATGAAATAATGGAGAGCAGAGCTATTGTGTTAAACTAATGACTGGTTATACTTMATATATTAAACAAAACCTCAGAATACAGCACTTTGAAATGCKTTCTTGTTGAGCGATCCAATAATTGCGAATTTTAAAGCCGAATATATGTTTTTAAAATGGAAGGATCTGTCTTTTTTCCCTTGGGACATGGTGTTGAAGTTACAGGCAAGAACGGGGTGCAGGATTTAACAGATRTATTCATCTCTGCTTTTGAATTTCTCCCAGGCCTTTTAATATATAAATAATTGTGAAGAACTAAAGTAACCACTTTTAACCTTATTTTAATGGGCCTGATACAAGCRAGTGTTGAATATGGCACTGTTCTATTGGATTATAATATAACATTCCTATTAAAATGATTTTTAAAAACCTTCCCAAAATTCCAATAACAGTATTTCATGGAATATAACATGGTAGTGGAGATTAGCTAGCYCTGGAATACCTTGGCAAAAGTGTTCAAGTAACAAGAGTTTTTCTAGTCTTATGTCCTATATACATCTGTTAAATTACTCAGAGATCTCATTAAATAAAGCTAATGTACTTGTAAAACAGTAGGGAGAGACAGTATATCATTGTAACTGTTAGAAAGAGCCATTCTGGCAAGGAGGGAGCCAGGAAGGCTTGGTGTATGCTGGTCAGTGGAGATGTTTCTAGGCCATAAATCTTGGCCCTTTCCTGCCTAGTTATTGTGTATTTCTTTAGGTGAGAGATTGATTGTAGCAATGGAAGATGAATTTGCCCATAGACCCTTTACTTTTTTTCTGTATACTCCTGATGCCTCGCCAAGGTGATAATGCCTTTTTTTTTTTTTTTTTTTTTGCAATCATTTGTTTCAGATTAAAAGCGTGAAACTGCATGGGGAAACACAAGAAGGCTTGTCTCTGCAGACAGGCAAAGGTGAGGGCATGAAGATGTATAACCGTCCCAGGTGGGAGAAGAGCACAGTTCACCCCCTCAGGATTTGAAACAGGTCTGTCTGAAGGAGARTGAAATAGGGTAAAACTGAGAAAGAACCTCTGCATTTCTTTATTGTGCATTTTGAGGATGGTATTCTAATTTTTTTTTTTTTTAAGTATGGCTGTGTTATGCAACTAAAATATTTAGTGCTGCTAAAATATTCCTTACCTGTCTGTTTAGTGCTGGGCAAATGGCACAAGAGCTGCCCCCTCCTTGTGTTCCAGACTGAACAGGGGATGCTTTTCARGAATATATATAGATGCTGAATTTATAAGGATCAATATAGTCACAAATGTTGTACAACATGTCAGGATATCATAAAAAGCAGGCAGTTCTGTATAAAATACTAGCTTAATCTCTGAGATTTTAAAGCCTCATTAAAATGTGGATAAAGTCCATATATGGAATGGCAGCATTCAAAAGGTTGAAGTTGTATATCTGTGGTGCAGAAGTTTTAACCGTTACACTTGAATGTCAGTCGACCCATTTGATCAGAGTTGATATTAATGTGAAAAGAGGTGATGGGGTGCATCATATACACCTTCTAACCAGTAGGATTTGTTGTTTAAGGTTTGGGGATTGCGATGTGAAAACTTTTGTCCCTTGATTTTTGAAATCTGATGTGCTGGAATAGGGGTGGCAATGTGAGCATTAATTTTACATCACAGGACTTCCAGGCAAACTCTGTAAGTTGTGTTTAACAGGGCAGAAAGATGGGGTGGCCTTTCCTGTCACCAGAGGGGCACTGAGAGAGYGGGATTGTGGCTGTGTGGGAGCCTGGTTAGAGCAGAACAGACCCCTCAAAAGACAAGAAGCTGTGTCTGCAGCTGACAGCACTGAAAATTGCAAATATCCAGCTTCTTGCATGGCTGTGGAATTTCGCTGTCCTAGCTTTGCAGATAGTTTTTTATTTTCCACTAAAAGGTTGTGTTTGCTYCTGCTTGCAGTGCTGTTTCCCAGATTTGTGACACCCTGGTATTGTGCTGTACACATCTGCTGGGCAAAGTTATCTGGTGGGGAGAAATCTGAGGATTCTGAGTGTTTTTTTTCTGGGAGAAACTTTGAAAGTCAAGCAAATACTTTCATCTTGACCTTTCTGCAAGGCTGCCCCATATTCACTAGTTGTCAGCACATGTTTGTCTGGAGCCATTCGTCACTGCCATCCGTCACTCCTCTGCCATTCCCATCAGTCCCATTATCTGGGATCAGGAGAGAGCTGAGGATGTAGCCTGAAGGATCATTAAACCTCAGCTTCCAGGTACTGCAGGTAGTCCAGGTGGTCTGTTGTTATTTATAATAAAGAAACAACGCAGCAGAACTGCCTGGCGGTGGCCCATGAGGCCCAGAGGAAGGACGGGCTGGGGGATGTCAGCACTGAAGGACAGCTAAAAGTGGACTTTCTTCCCCCYACACTGTAGGCAGAGAGGATTTATTGAACATCTGTTCAGTACATGGCTGGGAAGATTGATTAATTTAATTGCTCACACTTTGCTTAAGTAACATTTGAATACTTAATGTCAGGTTTGAAGGATATTACAACGTTTACTYGCACACCTTTTTAAAGAGGCAGAGYTTCTCATTGCTTTTTGTGTCTTTCAAGGAAGTTGAAATGCATCCTGAAATTTACTTTGCCCAGAGGTGTGGGAAAAGCTGCTTCCTCTTGTAAATGCAGGTAGATATTTTTTGTGTTTTACTYATTGTGGTAAATCATTAATGTTATGAGGTGGGATTATCCTCAATTTTTGGTGGTAATTTTCCTTCTTTTATCCAGGATAAAGACAATTCAGAATATTACGTATTTCTGTACCCTTTAACATAATATCGTCACACTGAAGGAGTAGATGAATTAAAGTCACAATAATTTATTGCATTTTCTATTCAGAGAGGGTATTTGGGAAGAAATTCCTGAACTTCCTCTTGAGGAATCCCACCCATGAGCCTAGGGGCAAACGTTAAACAACAGAACCTTTAKTGTTGCTATTTCTCTACATTTTGTGTATATCTGATAGCTTCTCATCTGTGTAGCTCTGAAAAGTTTATCKGATCAAGGTCTGATCAAAAATGATAAAAACCTACTGAAAGTGTTAACAGKCACTTGAGAACATTTGGCACAAAAACTAAACCTTGAGCAAATATCCTACAGTTCTCCACACTTTTAGGGCAGCAGATGTTGATATTATTGCCTGTGTGAATGCAGCAATGTCTGTGACTACCAGCAAGTGCTTATTGTTTAAAGATAAAGGTGAAGATCCTTGTTTCACTGCAGTGTAGGACTGCCTTTACATTTGTCACCATCAGATGTTAAACTGAGAAAAAGCAGACTGATAGATAGAGGTGCATGTGCAAAGACTGATTCTGTAGGATTTTTTCCATCCGAAAAGGGATTTCTTTTTTYCCCTTATCCTCCATGCTGTAGTAAAGATGTTCTTTGATCTGTTAGTACAGCAGTTCATTTTAAGTCTGGTATACAGTCAGATATTCTATTAGATACGAGATCTTTAACTATTTGTCTTACTTTGTGCGTAATTTGCTTTGGAACTGTTGGCCCAATAAATAGTAAATGATGCTGACTTACACAGCCATGTATTTTTATTGTCTGAGATACCATATATAATGTTCTCACAACAATGCTTAACTCTGAGAGGGTAGGGATTAAACACTGYTCCATGACTAATTTACTGCCTCACAACATAAAAAGCAAAGCTTGGAGAGAAAGGCCTCATACGAGGCCGCATAAAGCAGAGCAATGCTATCATGTAGTGGCACTTAATAACGGCACTGGCATTTTGTTAGCATCTCTACAAGAAAAAAATTGTTCTTAGGGAAGGATAATCTACAGTCAAATCTGATTGAAGTCAAAAGAAACATTGGCTGATTTCTTTGAAAGATGCCCGTCTGTCCCTGGATTTGACTGTACACAATACATCCTGCAGCAGCGAGTCAGATTGTCAAGGCCAGAACCAGGTGCCTATGTTACTTGTATCCTTCTACATCAGTCATACTGTAGGGAGCAGACAATTAATTCTGGAGCAAAATTGAAAGTCAGAGGCAGAGTGTGAAAGAACAGAATGACAATAATAAAGTGCCCCTGCCTCACATTAATCTCCCTCACTTCAGGGCTGTCAGAGGCGGCCTGGCGGTGACTAATGCCAAGCTTTGCATACAGTGGTCACAGACATGAGCAGCATGCTCCCCTTACAGCATCCACGATGCGCTTTGTTGAGTTTTTGACTCCTGCGGAATCATTGGAAAAACATCGCCGCTGGTCAGAGGGAGCAGGACCGAGTTCCTTCATCATACACCTATTGATCGATGGGCAGCATTCCCGGGCTCGGCTGGAAAGGAAGGGAAGGGGAGAAAAAAGGGAAAGAAAAAAAAAAAAAAGAGGAGAAAGGAAAAGAAAAAAGGGATCCTGACAAATGCAGGGAGATTAAAGTAACTTTTTGAAGGGATGAGCTCAGCAGATAAGGGTTAATAAGTTTATCTTTGAGTAAGTGCATATCATGTGCAAGTCCAAGCATCAGGACAAAATGATCTTACACCTCTACAGACACGCTAATCCATTAACATTGCAAAAGACTTTGATGCACATTTGGGAATTGTGTTGCATTGATTTTATTGTCATCTTTTTGCACAAATAGTAAATAGGGTAACATTTAAGGAACGGTGTAATTATTCCCAAAAAGCAAGACATCAATGTAAAGTTTATTGTTGTAGACCAGACATTTTGACAGGAATACTGTAATATCCCAGAGGTGTCACTGGGTTACTGAAAAGGTTAAAAATTGGTGCATTGTGTCGGAGAAGAAAGGCAGTAACAACAAACAGCATTCAAAAAAATCACAGGCACTTCTGTAAGAAAGTGGAAATGTGTCATGTAACAACACACAGCTCCTGTAAGTGGATTGCTGCACCGAGGAAGAAAGTGAAGCACACCTAATGAAAATGCTTCCTCCACTGCCAGCGTTTCAGGGCTCRCTCTCATTACTGAGGCTGCAAAAACAACTTTCCTCTCAGGTTCCTCCTTTTGTTGTATCCAAGCYCCACACATGCTGTATGGTGGAGTTTGATAGGGCCGTGGCTGAAAATTTCATTTATCTTCTCTGGTAGTTGTGGGGGGAAATTCCCACGCCAGACTTTATTTGCCAAACTCTGCTGTGTTTTTCCTCACTAGCCATGTGCACGTGTCCTAAATCAGGGGGACAATAGTATTTTTTATAGAGTGCTATTTGACAAGGAGAAAAGTACTTGCAGCCTTGTGTTATAGTTGACCAGCAGAGCAGCATTCATTAGAATTGGAATAAGAGGGAAGGGATATAGGGAAATTCATGGTATGTGACCAAGAACAACATGTTTTATGTTTAAGTATATTGTTTAGCATTCTAGAGGACTAGGAAAGAAGCACATAGGTCCCCTTGTATAACATGTCATTGGATCAGGATTAAAATGTATTTACAAAGACATTTTGAGGCTTGCACACTGTCAAGAACTGTGGGGTTTGATTTCTTTTTCTACACAATTTTTTTTTTCCATCAATAGCTCCCAAATCCTTGTTCGGACTTAAACCATTTTTTTAGCATTTCCAATAGTTCTTTCAGGCTACTCAACTGGATATGCAGTTGTCTTCACTTCAAGAAGCAAACAGGAAATGCAGAAAGTGTTTGTCACTGAGGCAATCAGTATGGTTTGAATTTGGGAACCTAAACACAACTTTTAGTGCTCRTTTGTGCCAAGGGAGGAAATCTGCTACCTGGCAGCAGTGACTTTTATCCTGCACTTGGATTAGCCCTTTCATGGGCTGCAAAACACATTTTACAACATTACACAAAAGCATGAGATGAAATATGCATATGGTACGTGCCTGACATCTCCAAGAATACTGATAGGAATGCACTTCACAATGTGTCAGTCCCTCACCTCTGGGCTCCCTTTCYATGTTTTTCTGAATTCTAGGGGTTTTAACCCCAGAGAAGTTCGTGGCAGGGATGGTTTGGAAGGCAGGTGAGTCCAGSTCTCATTTGTGCAGTGCTGGAGGTTCTCATTCAGATCTCTGGCAGAAAGCAGCTCTCAGTTTTACACTCATGATGCTCCCTCCCCTAGTGAGATTACACAAAACTGACTCCTTCACTCTGTTTTCTGGATTGTCCTCTGCTTCCACAGGCAATGAGATCCCAGCACTGATTTCAGCTGCACACCAGCCACTACTGATGATTATGGCATTCCCTGCTTTAATCCAAAGTTTTTGGAGTTTAAATGAGGTGGGGATCTGTTTTCCAGAGCTCTCTAAGGTGTGTGTGCAGCACRGTGGCTCTACCAGTGCTTGGAGGAGCCACAGCTAGGAGCTGTCACTCGAAATGCACTGTTCCAAAGTTTTGAATAAATAATTGGTGTGTGAATCCTGCATCCTCAGCTGACCTAGATGTGGTAGATCTAATTATGTCAAGGCTGCACACTTTTAAATGCTGCTTTTTCTTTTCTATTTTTTTTTTTTTTGCCAATATATTTATTCTATTTATTTATAATTGAACGAGGGAAAAAAGGGATTTCCCTATGTTTTTCTTTATGGTTTTATAGGGTTGTAAGGTATCTTACTCCTCTAACTTAGGAAAATCTTGATTTTTGTTTTACAGATACTGTGAACAACTTATGTATAAATGGAAAAACAGCACCTGAGTTGTTCAAGTAAAGCAGCATTGTTATACAGAAATAATGGTTGAATCCTATTTTCCTGCATGCTCATAGAATGTGTGAGCTCTGCTGACCTCAAATCTCTCTCAGTTTAAGAAGCTGYGAAAAACTCTTCCTAAACTTTCCACTGAAGGTGTGTCAGTGTGCAGAATGACAGACAGCTCTTTTGGCTACTGATGGGACACACTGCTGATTCCATCTCCATAAAACCTGGAGAGAATTCAGGCCACACAGACTGGTTTCCCTTCAGCCAAGACAAAAAAGCCTGAATTCTATTCTCCAGATTGGAAGATTAAGAGGTGCTGGGCTGCCCAGATTGCATTCCCACTTCTATGAACAAAATTGGCCCTTACTATATTTRTATCACTTTGAAACAGAGAAATTAATGCGGTCTCTAAAATATTGTCCATTAGGATACGTTTAAAGAGAAGTTCTATAAAAATTTGGGAAATTAACACTTTTGCAAATAAGTGTGACATGTTAATAATCATAAAACAAATTSGGGAAAAGTTGTGTTCCTTCAGTGAGTATTTGCCATGTACAATCCAGCTCATATGGGCRCTATTTTGGTACAATCCATAAAAAGCAGGAGCTCTCTTTCCATGAGAAATTTGGGTAATTTGTCCCCATATTTGTGACATGGATGATGTCTGTTGTTTAAAGTGCTATCTTCTCACAATGGCCTGTTTACTATCATGTTTCTGTGTTGTTTTGTTGGTTTTTTTTTCAGGGAAATGTGTGAGCCCCTTTACACATTGGCAGCTTTTGAAGGAAAGGCAAAACTTCCCTCAGGTATAATTAATATGTTATTTTGGCTTTGTACAAATGAGAGCAATGTCCCATGATTTCAATAGAAACAGGGAGTTCTCTTGACTCTCTTTCAACCCCTTGCAGCAGTTTCCTCCTTAGGCCCTTCAGTGTCTTTTTGCAGATCACCAGCATGCATCTGTGTTGGACTTTGATTAGACAACAATGAAAAATACAGAAAAAAAAMCCCCTGAATTACCAAATATTTATCAAATAAGACAGCAATTCTTAGGACAGTGCAGGTGGGGAGGGACCTCACCTAGAACAGTGACACACTCAAGGTGTTCTGTCAGTGTTTATGACTGTTCTCATTTAAGCACTSTAAAATGCTGAACCTGGTTCTAACTCTGCTTTCACCAAAGCTGTGGGGAGCAGGATCCATCTGAATGGTGAGCATTTCTGAAATGTCTGCCCAATCTGCCTGTGAAGGTTTCCTCCAATTCCCTGTAACCTTAGAAGAGTTTTTGTTGGGTACAGACACAGCAAAGACAGACTTGTCTTCTCACTCGCTCTGAAAGCTTTCATTTTGTTTGACAACATTTTATACTGAGCTTGGCTCATTCTCTCACAAGGAGAAAGTGTGCAAACTTTACATAGAAGTGGGCAGAAAATTTGGCTACATTTGTTTGCTGTAGCAAACACCAACTCACAGGAAGGCAAACGTTATACTGATTTTGTTAAAACTTGAAGAGGAAAAGATTTCTAGTGCCCAGTATGGAATTTTGGATCAAAATAACGAAGGAAAATGCAAAAGTGACTGCAGTTTGAGGCCCAGAGTATTTATATAGATATTGCCTATTTGGATTTCTCATCTTTTTTACTCTCACCAGCTCTCAGCCCTATGAATTCAGGTTTCTCCAGGTGAACCCTTTTGAAATTTCAAATGCTTGGTGGCTTGGAAGAAAAAAAAAAAAAAACCCATTTCATTTCTCTCTTCTCACATCTAGATATGAATCCTCACCTTATGTGGGCTGAWGTCCTGCTTCCAGAGAAGCATGCTGGTTTGATGACCCCGTGCCAGCCCTGGAACACAGTGGAGGAGACTGCTTAGAACATTTTGTGCCACTCTGGAGTGAATTCCAGAGCCCAGGCCCTGCACTGACACATTTCCATCCATCCCCTGCAATGCATGTGGCAGCAGTATTCCATCTGTTTCTAATGAGGCATAGCGGGGGAGGAAATCTTMTGCATAAACATCTCCCACATCACTTATGACTCCATTGAAGAACATCTTTGCAACAGAATTAATTTGTGACAGAGATTTTTAGCTATTTGTTTATTATAATACCTGTGGATATCGAACAGGAGAGATTAGCCAGTTCCTAAACCTGGCAAATTCCTTGGCTGCAATCCTTCCTGTGTTCTGGGAGCCAATTCCAGCACAAATTCTTGTTGTAAAGGTCTTGCCTGTATTCCCCAAAGTACAGATGATAATTTTGTATGTACCTATGCTATTACAGGGGGAGGGAGATGTAGCTAGATTTAATTCTAAACAAAGAGCAAGCTGTTCCTTATTTAATTCCGGTTATAAACAAGTTATAGCAAGATAGAAATGGAGGGTGAAACAAAGGAACAAAAAAATACCACTTTGCATAGGCTTTCTTTTAAAATCTTTGTTTCTTTGTACAGAAGAGCACTGCAATGATTTTTTTAGAGGGAAATAGTTTACTGTGATGTGTATGAAATAGAATTTTGATAGACAGAATAAGCTGCAATCCAGCTCTAAACTATAGATTTCCAAGCAGATTGATGCAACAAATTGTTAGCAAATAGCAGTTTGCAATTTGATGCTAATTAGACATAAGGCAAATATGTGCCATGACAAATTAGCAGCAAACCATACTGAAAAGGATTAGCAAGAGCTGGCACAGAGACTGCTCGATTTTGCATACTTCCTTGTCTTAGTCTAGGAGGTCTGAGCCAGTTTTCCTTCTCTGTAAATAGGAAACCAGAGCAGAGATCACAGGCATGCTAGAATGCCTTTAATTGCATATTTGAAATGTTTTAACTCTCTCTTAATCCCATGGAGGCTTTTCTCCATACCACCAGCTTTATTATCCTGGGAGATGATCAAGTGCTTTATCCATTTAATATTATAACTAAATACATTATGAGGTAAGTAACTCACGGGGTTATTTACTTTAGCAAGTCTATTGTACTTATAGATTTAAGAAAAAGCCCCATTCTTATTCAAAACACCTTTGCTTAACTTCCTGCAAATGTGTTTTTCAGCGGATTTAATTATTCATTTCATTAATAAATTAATTTTTGCTAGAGGATTATCACATTTCTTTATTGATGTGCACAATGCCATTGTGGTAGTTAGTGTAGATCAAACACTTCACCGTATCCAGATGAGATAATGCAGTTGTGTTTTCAAAGCAGGGAGGAGCAGGGGGTAATTTCTGTGCCAGTTCCTCAGAGCTGTGCCTCAATACCAGCACAGCTGTAAGTGTGACTCCAGAAYTAAAGCAAAAACTGCTCCAGAAYTAAAGCAAAAACTSCTCTTGCATCTTTAAAGGGTGAAAATTTCATTAGGATCAAGAACGCTAAACAAAAGCCACTGTAAAAATACCTGTTTGTTCAATTTAAGAAACTTGTTCTTTATGTGGCTGTTTGTTTAGTTTTTGTAATTAAGAGTTTCTGAGGTGAACCATCACATTCCCCAGGCTTTCAATTCATATTTGCTGGTGTGTACTTCAGTTTGGRTATGTAAAATGACATGTTTATACTTCAAGGAATCATTGGGTAGATCAGAGGTTCTTAAATAGGGTTTCTCTTTTAAATCTGAGTTTCTAGGGCATCCAAGGCATTTAACTTACTAGGCTGATGGTTGTTGTCTGAAATTATATATGTATAACATTCCCAACATTCCTATGTCTATAAATGGATCAAAAAGGTTGTTAGAAATAGTTCAAAGGTGCTAAAACATTATGTAGTTAGATGTAAACACACATTTCGGTTACCAAAATAAATGAAGTGGGAAAATAAAAGGATATTATGCACAAAAGATTGTTCTTTCATAATTCTTAGAGAGAATTCCTCAGACAATTTAAACCACGATCAGTAACAAGTTTTGCTACAGCACTGTCTTCCCACATAAACAGTATGATAACACACTTTAAGGATTTACAAAAAGGTGATCAAAGTAGTGCTGTTTAAAAAGAAAAAAGAGAAAACGCCAGGCTTTTCCTGCAGTTTCTGAAGGCATTTATATATTCACATAAAAGGCATGTCCTGTGAAAGCCTTGGTGTGCACTGAGGCCTGGAGAAGGAGTTTCTGGTATTGCCAGGCTGAACGTCTGCCTGCTCCCTTTTGCCAATATTTTTGCCCAGTTGCCACATCACATCAGAAATTCAGGCAACAATCTTTATGCTGCTGCAAAATTTTAGAAAAGTGAATTGATTGCCCTCTGGGCTCAAAACTTTATTTCCTTTTTGTTGTCATGCTCAGACTCATGGTGAGTTCTTGGTGAGCAGTTCTTTGCCTATACTGAAGGAGTGTAAAAACCCATCAGTTGGCAAATGTAGACTGAAAATTGGACTGGTTAAAAGGGATGTTAGGGATTTTAGGATTGCATTACATATAAATGGTTGTAATTCTCAAAGCAAAATTTGTTTCCAGTCAAGTATTTTCACATGGTGTCTTCCCTCACAAAAGCATCACAGATTTTCTGCCCGTGATGAAGCTTCCAAACACTCCCGGTGCTTAATTCAGCTCAAATTGCCTTTTTTTGGGGGGGGTCTGGGCTTGAATTTTTTTCTTCTTGTTTCTCCCAAATGGCTTTTGTGGAATACAAAGTGGTTGTGAATTTTTTTTTTTCATTGTAGATTTGTTTCCAAATTAGAAAAAAAAAAATTGTGGGGCAGGAAATAAATAGTCGATGAAAATTAAACCAGCGTAAATTTGTTAAACTACTAGAAAACTACACAAACACACACAGACAAAACCTGCAAAAAACCCCAAACCAATCCAACAAAAAGAAAACAGCAAAGAAACTCCACCACACCCACAAAAAAAGAAAAAAAAAACCACAAAAAGAAACCTTCACCCTGAAAAAAAACCCCAAACCAACCAACCAACCAACCAACAATAACAACAACAACAAAAAAAAAAAGTAAGGAAAACACTACTTTTGTAGGTTTCTGCAGGTTATTTCCTCAGGCTTGGGAGAAGATAGTAGATGCTAGGTTAGAGCAAATTCATCCTGATAAAGCACACATAGTTTTTGACAAATGTATTATCTCTTTAGATCACGGGATTAATAAGATACATTGTCCCCAGGAAAATATGTGCACTCATGGAGAACCTCATTGACATTGCTGCAGAGAGGTGAGTTCAAAAGGCCACGTATTAAAAACAGGGTTTTGAGGCTRTGCAGGCAAATTTTTTGTTTGAAATCTGTAAAAGTTTGCATTTGAATGACTTATAGCAGGTGACTGTCCACTTACCTGTGTTATCTGCAATCTGTGTGCAGAAATGAATGAAAAATAAAATGTGCTACAAATTTGACTTCCTAACTCCTGTTTTTTTGTTGCACATGGTGATGAGGACACAGGATGGCTGTGACCAGAGGGGATCTCTGAAGATCAGTGAGTCCATCCCCTGTCAGGGCAGGGTCACCTGGAGCAGGTGACACAGGATCAGGTAAATTTGGAATATCTCCAGAGAGGGAGACCCCACAACCTCTCCAAATGCTAATTTGTTTCCTGCTGTGCGCTTAACTCTGTTAAGAATAACTTTGACAGTTTTACTTTAAAGTCATTCAATTATTCTTATCAATATTATTAGTATTTACAGCAGAGATGGTATGRTATAATCTGACACTTCTCCCAGACATTGAAATATTTAAGGTTGTCTGGGGACTCTGGAATGTTCATAAAAATAATGAAATATTTATTGTCTTTATCTGCATATCTAAAATTCATCAATGAATAAAACCAGAGGGGGGAATCTTTAAAAAATAAAACAAAATATTATCCTGCTCTAATTTATAGTTGCTTTCTTTTATCTGTGTAAGATGCTTGAATTCACTTTGTTAGCAAATTTCTCTTGACAAGCACACCTATTTATTATTACTAAGCATCCTTTTTAGGAATGTCTGAAATGACATGTGTATTGTTTTAAATAAGATCATAGAGTTAATTTTTAACCACACAAGCAGTACAGTAAGAATGGAGCGAACAAAACATAATTAATAGTTTTATGCCATTCGTCAGGATYGTTTTATTTGCTGCCAGCATGTGCCAAACGCAAAAACATTTTGACTTCAATTAAAGATTTTAAATGARATTAAACCTGCTGTCATTGGAATCACAGAACATATATGCTTCTAGGTACTGTGAGCATTCCTGGATATTTGTGTGTTCAGGCAAGAAAGAGTCACTGGGAGAGCAGAGGTGAGTGAGAAGGTGGGTAGAGCTGTTCCTGCACCCACCCACTTGGAGTGAGCCACTCCCCTCTGGCCTCAAACACACATTTCCATCTTCCCTGGGAAAGGAAGTGAAAGAAATAGCACCACATCTATATTTTGTGTGTTATAGAGAAACTGTGGTACCACTGCCACAGTATACTAGGTCCATGAAGAAACAAATTTTTACTTTGTGTTTTGGGGTTTTTTAATTGCTTAAGGCTGGACTTTTTTTAAATATTATTTCATTATTATTTTAAATTAGTTTTTGTTTTTGTTTTTGTTTTTGTTTTTTTTTTTTTTTTTTTTTTGAAAATGGCATCATGTTTCAGGATATCTGTATTATTGCTGCCTCACCATATAGAACCTTATCATTGCCAGGGACTCAGCTGTCTTGCTGAGCTGCTGTCACAGCAAAGGACATTTTAAACACCAAAGATGTGTTTCATCCTAAATTTGTGGCTGGCCAGAGTTTGAGTTTGGGTACCAGTGCCACCTCAGCAATTTGAAACCTAAGAGCATGACCTAGAGGGAAAAAAGTGGTGCATGTTGTTTTAAGCTCCGGTTTAGTAAAACACTTAAGTGCTTATTTAACTTTGAACATGCCTGAGCCAGATTAATTCCTTATTAGTTGCTGATTTGTTAATTTTAGTGGATTTAATAAATTGAAGACTTAAGAAATGAAGATCCCCCATAGGATGTTAGGGCTAGGGAAGATCCACACTGAATAACTCAGCTAGCTCCCCTAAGGGCTCACAGCTCCCTGTTTACTCAGGCACACACCAACATGCAGATTTCCTGCCTCGTGTACTGCACTGCATGGGGAAAATATCAGATTATTTGCAACCAAGCTGGTACCTTTGATGTGATACTGTGCAGAACCACCCARAAACAATGAATGCCCTGAAAACTGTGCCCTGGCTGAGGTCCACCCTGATGGGGCTGTGTCAGTGCAGACCTGCACCATGGTCCATCAAGAAATGCCATGATAACGCTACCAAACACTGCACTGTTAAGGGTTGGGAATAGGGGTTGTGTTCTGCTCCTTTGCCTACATTGCTTAATTCTGAAATTGATAGTTGGGTAAGCAGCAGATGGTAGAGACTCCTGCAAATGCATGGTATTTTCAAATTAACTTAAATACACTGCATGGGACTGTGCCACCGAGCAGCACTGTAAACTGCAGCTCTGCATTGTAGATGTGCAGGGAGGACTGCAGCCTCCACTTCTCTAGCTGTCAATTTAGCTTTTGTTCCCTGTTCCATTTCTGGAACAGAAAATCTTCATCAGTTTGTGAATTTAGATTCAGCAGAGATAGGGGAAAAGATGTCTGGATTTAAAACACTAGCAACAATAATTACAATATTAAAATACTTATGAGAGCACATATAGCAGGAATGGGGAAGTCATCATGAATGGTACCTCTCAGGCCACTAGAAATATTTGTATTTGCTGAGGAAAGGACAGCTACAGCTACAAGCTTAAAGAAAAGCATTTGGACCCTTGGAAAAATAGAGAATGGAGGACTGGTTGAGCACAGGTACAAGTTAACAGGGCTCCAAGAGACGCAGAATTAACAGTAATCTAGTCAGTATATACAGGATTTATTTGCATTGTAAAGACTCAAGTGAAGGTGTGTATGGAATGCAAAATAAAGGCAAAAAATGACAACAATTTTTGCTTAGTCAAGTCCATAGAGCCTCTGAGGAATTCTGGGGATCTAACTGATTTAGGCAATTAGGGAGCAGAAATCCAAATATGCTCAGTTTTGACAAATTCCCTGCAATGTAAACTGCGTAGAATTATTTGCAGTATTCATAACCATTGATTGAATCCTAAATTAGYTATAACTACTTGATAGAAAGAACTTCAGTGAAATTCAGATCCTGCTGGAGTCTCTGGGAGTTTTGCCTTTTCTTTCAGTGGGGATAGAGYTTCCCCATGATCATCATTACTGCAGACAGCTCAATAGAAAAGGCTGCTCAGCTCACAGCGGTGGTCTGAGCAGCCAGCAAAATGGTTGGATGAATAAAGAATGGGTTGGAAAATAATACTGCAAATATTATGATACCTATCAGTGATAKCCTCTTGCCTTGAACACATTGTTGAATTTGTACTTTTCTGCTCGAAAATATACATCATAAACAGAAAGAATAAAGCAGTAGTCATAAAAAAGTATCCAGAAGCATAATTTTACATTCAAAGAGGAAAAATAGGGGAGCTCAGGTTAAATGGATGAGAAGATAGGTGAGGTTTTGTAGGAAAGGAATGATTTACACAAGTCTGATTCCTTTCTTGGCTTTGTCCCATAGTGCAAACAGAGAAGYGTGCCAACATGTTGAAAATTGATAAGGAGAAAGTTTTGATGTTTTGCAGGACAGGACTTGGGGCTGAAGGAAGTCTTTGGAGTGAAAAGAGGATAAGAAAACAGGATAAGAAAACAAAACTAAATTGGACATCCATGTTTGTAAGGCAATTCTCAGAGATGCAGTGAAATAAAGTTGGAAAGCACAAGCTAACATTTACCCTGTGACTAAATTTTCAGTCTCCCTTTGGGACAGTGATGATTTTATTGTATTTTTAACAAAGCCTGGACCCTGTTTGTTACAGGTGAGGGGTGGGATGCTGAACTGACTCACCCGTGTGTGATTTGTGCAATTGTCCCTCCTGCTCCAGCTCCTGGGGCTGCCATGGGGTGCAGGAGAGGGAGGGAGAGGCTGCTCAGAATCCCTGAGTGCCACAGGCTGGCTCTGCCCTCCTGCTCCCTGGAGCTGAGGGGATTTGTGTCAATCTGGTGCTGAGGGAAGATTCTCTTCTCCCCRTCAGAGCTCAGGGAATCTTCAGCCTTTGGCAGGAAGTACAAGTTACACTTACATATTCATCTTTTGTGTTGGGGCAACAAAAAAAGTCGGAAAGTAGAGATACAGACTCTTCTGGCAGATAACTTCAGTCTCTAAATGTCCTATTTCAGYTTTTCAAGTTAAACACATTCTGATTTGATGAATGCTTGTGCCACACAGTGTAGAACCAGTGGGTTCAGAACATCCAGATGTTGTCAAGGTACAATTTTAAGGTTTTAATTTTTTTTTTCAATAAGACTTTCAGGCATACTTTTATGCTACAGCACAGTTTTGTATAAAAGCCWGTAGAAACAGCTTAGAATAGCTAGAAATGCTTAATGATTAGGGTGGTGCACAGCTGAAGCATTACCAGTGCAATCTCTTGCTCGCTGATTTGTTGCCAGGTAGCGAGCCAATTAGCAGTGCTGGTTATTATTTACTTTTCATGCTATATATCACTAAAATTGTGCTGTTGATTTATCATTTAGATTGTTGTATTGTCAGCATAATTTATTCAGATCATGCTGAGATACCTGGGAAATTAAGTAATA